GGTTGGGCCCCGGAAGGAAATGAGTATACAATAGAAATAAAAGGAAATAATAATAATAATAAAAATAATAATACCGGTGGGATTTTTTTATCAACAAGGATCGACTAATACGAAATCGACTAGACATTATTTTCAAAGACAGCAAAGACAAAAAGTTTGCACATTGATTGATATGAGCGTACCAAATGACAAAAACAGTTGTGCGAAGAGTTTTGAAAAATTAAGCAAATACAAAGACCTAGAGATGTAAATAAAATAAATGTGGCACTTAAAAACTAAAACGCTTTCCCTTGTGATTGGAGCTTTGGGTCTGATCAAGAAAGGAACTTAACAGGAAATCAACAAAATTGCAGGTGTACCATCTCTCCAGGAAATACAAAACAATACGTCTAACAAGCACAGGAACCTTGTGCATCTAAGTCTTTTGTGTTAATTAAGAGGAAACAACAAAAAAGTCAAATTCTTGCCCTAGGTCATCCGGCGTGTGATTATAAAACAAAATGCAGGTTTTAAATTATTGCTTTAAAATAATTATAATAATCCGTATAACAACATCTGTCTGTATTTCTGAGATAAGGCATTATGTACACTATTTACATTATTCGGACTATTGTTCTCATCTTTGTTGCCAAGTGTCATGTGTCCTCAAGAACAAAGGCGTTAGTTAGATCCAGTGACAGTGACAGGACCCAAAGAGTGTGGGTTCAATACCCGGTTAAGGTTGTGGAGAACTTGAGGGGAATTAACAGGAGATAACTAACAACTGACATCCATTAAAACATGGCAGGTGGAACTAGAACAGCCTACCCCAGTGAGTGAAATAAAGGGTTCGACATTCTAAGCACCTGAAGAAGGCCGGAGCGTACAACGGCCGAAACGTTGTAATATATATGGCGACAATGATGAGGACAATAGTCCGAATAATGTAAATTGTGTACCGTATAACAACGTCTGGATATTTGATAAATCTTTCTTTGATATTTCTTTCAATTTCCGATACCGTTTCAATTATTTTTATTTTTCTCTTTTCTTTCTTTGTCTCTCCATTTTATACCTATTTTTCCTTAATTCAGTCTTTCCTTCGTTCATTTCCGATTTCCTTTGGTAAAATGAAGGAGTCACTCTTACCAGTTGTTACAGGTGAGTTTAGAACGGTCCCGCAGAGCCAGAAAGAAAGGAAAGTGAAACTGGAAAGCAGTGTAAGAATCGATATCATCTAAATGAGAGCATTACTGAATCGATATCATCTACATGAGAGCATTACTGAATCGATATCATCTACATGAGAGCATTACTGAATCGATATCATCTACATGAGAGCATTACTGAAAACAGCTGAGAAGAGTCCTGGAATATTGAAGAGACAGACTTTCCCTTAATCTTATCACCAATTACCGTTGATGTGAACACTCAATGAGTGAATAATAAGCACGAAGGCCAGACATTTACCGTTCAGAAGGGACGAGAGTTTTAGATCGCCGATGTAAGCGGTAACAGGGGACGTAAGTGTTGTTGTGAGAGAAAATTAAAAAGGAAAAAAAGTTATAAAGATTTCAAACAGGTGGTAGCATGATTGCTGGGTTTAAGAAAGTAATTGTTTCTATTGCTGGGAGCTCACTTGGAAAAGTGACAAAGAAAAACCAAAGAAATGGCTGGGTAAAAATTGCTTCTGTGATTCGAATTGAGGCTTTAGAAAACAGCACTTCTTGGGACAGCCGGAATGGCGTGAAAAGTTTTCTTTATATAGAGTTGTGAAGAAATGCCAGGAACCATGGTTAGAACTGGCTGAAAATGGTTAAATTATGGCGTAAGAACTTCTTGGGAAAAAGGAGGTAACAATAACAATAACAATAATAATCAAAGACCATAAAAATAGAATGCGTTTTCTTTTTGATATGACCATTTCTGTAGACTGCAATGTATCTGAAGATTTTCAAAGAACTATCAAAATACAAGGATCTTCATGTAGAAATCTAAAAAATATGGCACATGAGGACATCAATAATTCCAATTTCCGACAGATTCATTGAAGGGATCCCTGGTAGCCATTTAACCTTAAAGAAATACAAAAAAAAAAAAGAAAAAAAACTGTTCTCACACGTACAGCTCACACATTGTGAAGGGATTTATTCATGTAAAATGTGTTTGATTTTGAGGTTGTTTGCGTTTTCTTTTTCGAAAATATCCGGTGGAAGATGTGGTGATCACATTTCTGATCTTAGGTCTCTGGTTGGGACCCGGAAGGAAATGAGTTTACAACAGAAATCAAAGGAAATAATAATAATAATACTAATATGGACACAAGCCCCATTGAGTGGTAGAAGGCGAAAATGTTACAGTGTTCTAAGACTTCAGCAGACACACCGACAGATATAAACATTAGCACTATCTTATAGACAGGATCGAACTGTCTGATAAAAGAATCTCAACAAAATACTTGACAAGCTTTCAATATATATATATAAAGACCATGGAATCGAAATTGCAAGATCGTGTCATC